AGAAGACGTTATCACTGATTTTTTATCGATTTATTTTTTCATTTTTCTTTTTGTGAAAAATGAAGTACATTCTGAATTCCACGGCGACGTCGTCCGCATCGTCATCGGCGATACTCTGCAAAAAATAGGATACTGAAAATTGAAAATTTGGCTGAAACTGCTGAAAAAATTGAAAATTCTGAAAATTTTTTTAAAATTTTTTCCGAGATTAAATGGCTTCTATAGGTTTCCGGAACAAAAATTTAAATTTCGGATGAGNTTTTGGGCGGGGGGCTCTTCTATTACAGGTTTTACGGTATATTTCTCAGTTTTTTCGAAATTTTCTGAAATTAGAAAAACTGAAATTTTCGATTTTTTTGACAAAGAAAATTTTGAAAATTTTAGGAAATTGAAATTTTTTCAAAGTAAAAAACGCATGAAAAATCTGAAATTTTCAGTTCAAAAAACTGAAAATTGATGCTTTTTTCAAAAAAAACCATGAATTTCTATAAATTTTAGTTTCAACAAAATGCGAATTTTAATTATTTTTTTTCGGGAAAAAAACATTCAAAACTTTGAGATTTTCGGGCGTTTCATTCTGAAGATTTTCTTAAATTGTGAAAACAAAAAAAACTATTTCAAAAAGTCTAAAATCATTCCAAAAATGTTACAGATTTTTGGAATAACTAGATTTTAAAATTTTTATATCTCTTTGAATTTTTTCAAATTTTGAGGATTTTTAAAATTCTGAGTTTAAAAAAAATGTTTATCAAAAATTTTTTTTTGTCAGCTCTGTGAGCCCCCCCCCCCCCCTGAAATTTCAAATCTCGTTTTTTGTATGGTTTTTGTTTGTATTGTAAAGGATATTAATATCCTTTTAGGGTGATTTTACATTACCATAATATTTCCCCACCAGGTCATAGTCCAAGTTCCGCATTCCCATGGAGAGCACAAAGTCCAACACAGTCACGGGTGATAAGAAATCCCAGCGGGAAATCCATTAGATGACACATAGGCTGAAAAACCACATTCCCTTCTCAGCACCTCCGTTCTGTACACTCTAACATTCTCTAACACACTCTAACATTGATATTTCAGATCGTTCCGCAAGCTCCTGGAATGCCATCACATCATCGACCAGCAGCTCCGCCCCCACACCCACGGGAACGATCCATATTGTCTATTCAAAATAATCGCGCGAGTGAACGAGTAAAAATGTCTGCGTCTTTACAGCGCCTCTACAGGTTTGAGGGCTCTCTACACGTTTTTTTACTCGTTCACTCGTGCGATTGTTTTGAATAGACAATATAAATATCCCCCCTTTCGTCTATGCGAGGCCTTTTATCTTGTTTTAGATGTCTTATTATTGTTCCTGGTCTCAGACCAGTTAAATAAACCATTTGTTAAATCTATTCAAAGCGTTGAACCTTCACTGTATACTATACATTCTACAACACACAATATGTTCTGTATAATCCGATGAAATAGAAAAAAAAACAATAAAAAACAATAAAACAGCGGGGAGGATTTTTCAAAAACCAAAAAAAGAGTAATGCGATGGAAAAACAGACTTTTTGCCTATTCTACATACTTGTAATCCGGGCGTTTGCCGGGCCTTCGCGGGCCCTGCCATAATTTCTTTCAGAATTTATATTTTCGAACCAACTCAATCGGGTATGATAGACCTCCACGAGTACTACAAAACGGTATTATTAGGTTGGCGGGAAAGTCTTTGTCACTCTGTTTGTTTAATCACTGTTCTCGTATATGGAGGCTGTGTATGATATCGACTCTAGTGAATAACAAGGTGATAAGAACCTTCCATATAAACAAGTCCCCATCTCCTTCCCTGCTCCTCATCTGTAATTGAAACGATATGTTTGTTCCCACTGCTATTCACATCAGACATGTTTTGATTTACCTCTTCCTATCTCACACCACGATGAAGGATTCGGAAACTTTCTTGAAGAATGTGTACAACACACATGCCCCTCACTACAATACTATTCGCAATTGGTTCCATCGTTTCGAAAAAGATGACTTCTCGCTCGATGAAAAGGATCGCTCTGGGAGACCCCGTGAGTTGGATTTGGACAAGCTGAAGCACGCATTGCAATCGGATCCATTTCAATCTAGCCGTGAACTAGCTGTCACATTCGGAGTTCACCATAGCACAGTCCTTGAAGGTTTGAAGTCTCTTGGAATGAGAAAACTTTTTGGTCGATTCATACCTCATCACTTGACTCAAGCCAACCTTGACCGCCGAGTCGACGATTCGATTACTCTTCTCACTCTCCACGCGGGCGATCGATGGCTGGACCGGCTAATAACCGGAGATGAGAAGTGGGTCTTCTACGATAATCACCACAGGAAATCCCAGTGGGTTGGAGAAGGAGAGAGCCCACAGGATGTCCCCAAACCCGGCCTTCATCCGAAAAAAGTTATGCTCTCTGTGTGGTGGGGAGTGGACGGCGCCCCATCTACTGGGAACTTCTGCCCGAGGGCAAAACAATAACTGGAGACCTCTACACTACTCAACTACGAAACCTCAAGAAAGCAGTCGACCGTTCGGCCTTGAAAGACAAGAAAGTGTACTATCAACATGATAACGCTCGCCCACATGTTTCGAAACAAGTGAAGCAGGAGCTGATGGGATATGGATGGAATGTTCTCCCTCA